AATCATCATAGTTTTAGCAGTAAACACACACTCCTAAATCCAGTTCTGTAGGAAACAGTCAACTACCATCACTGAGCACTTTCTATGTACACTGGGTGAGGTGCTGGGAACATGAAAGGAACTAAGGCTCCCTTCTCTTCTCAAGGGCCTGCAGCCCTAGTGGTAGAAAGATGCTGGAAACTGAACAAAGGTGTGATGCAATGTGCTAAGGAGCCCGCAGGTGTCAAGTTCTATCTGGGGGGCAATTCCAGCAAAGGAGTTAAAATAATGGAAAACTATTAGAGCAGAAGAGTAAATGATCACATTCAGGATGGGCAAGGGCCCTCCGTGGCACTGTATGAGACGACTGAAAGGGCAGAGATTGGATGCAAAGACTTCTAGTTGGGAAGGTTAAGGGGAGCTTAAATAAGATTATATTGTAGTCACTGTGAGAAGGAGAGAGAATCACGAAGATTTCAGATTGGAGTTGACAATACCCAAAATGATATATTTTTCAAATATTAAAAAAAACCACAATCCACAATAAAATGTACATTTTGCCATCATAACCCTACATACACATGTGTGAACATGTGTGTCCATACACAAATGTGCGTGTGCACATGCACACACACACACACACACACACACACACACACATATAAAGATTTCTCGACACAGTAAGACAGTGCTGTAGGCCCAAGGCACTGTCATTCTCATTATGCAACTTAGGAAAATGAAAGCAACAAGAGGTGTTCTCAAATAGCATATTTGCCCTACATGGATGTTTCTTTTGCAACACTATTGATTTTAAGGTTGTTGTTGACTTGAGGCACCTTAATGCTGTCTGTATTACTTAGGCAATGATTTACCATTTGATGTGACTTTCTGTTCTTTTGTAGTCTCCCTGGTTGATTACACTGCATGGCATAATTAGGTATTCATGAGCATATATCACAGCCAAGCTCTTAGCAAAGCTCCTTATCTGTGCTACTGATTTCTGCATGGTATTTCTGGAGTCAATCTGTTGCTACTCTTAAAATTAAATGAAAGAGCCTGCAATATCCAACTGTTAATTTTGTTTTCTAGATTATTCTGTAAAATGCCTGAAGCCCTGGAACATAGTTTTCAAAAAAGCATTACAATGTAATGTTAATTTTGGTCTTGATGACCCTACCCTGCAGTTAGCCGCCTGGCCTGCTCCTTGTGATGTCACCAGCAAAGAGAAGTGGACGCTTTTAGCAAGGAATGAATGTGTGCATGTGTTCTGTTCCGTTATCTCCAGTAGGAGTGTCCCAGGAAACTCATTTACAAAGCACTTTCACATATATTATTTTAATAGCTAACATTTATTGGGCATTAGTAATGTGCCAGGCACTGCGCTAAACACTTGATATGCATTATCTCAGAGTTTTCAAACCAGACCTGTAAGTACTATTCATTTTTCAAAAGCTGAAACTGATGCTTAGAAGAGTAAGAAACTGCCCGAGGCCACAAAGCCACTAAGTAGCAAGCCATGATTCAAATTCAGGTTTGTCTGTCCTTAGAAGCCAAACTTTTAACCACTGGATTATATTTCATCTGTTCCTCCAAATACATTTTTTTTTTTTTTTGAGGCTTAGTGATGCCAACTGATTTACCTATCGGCAAATGAGTGCTAACACTAAAACATGAATCCAGCATCAAAGTTAAGTCAGTGCTCCTCCCCTACTATGCCATAATTTAATACCCCTAACATTGCCCTGGACAGCAGTATTCACAGGCAGACAAACACACCAGAGGAAAAAAGGGGAGAGATAAAGCTACTTGAGGGTCATAGGTACAGCATGAAGCTGGCTCTCTCACTCTGTCTCTCCCACTTTAACATCTAAAGTCAAAAGGAAAACAGAGAAAGAATGCACATTTAGATATGGCAGGAAAAAAATGAAGCTAAATATTACTTTAGCCTAATTTAAGGCAGCTGTATAATCTACATGCTAGGAGACGGAGAAATAGTTCAAATGACAGAAAAGAGGTAGTGTATGGATTAAACAAGAACATGTGTTTAAATATTTAAAGACCATCACAAGCTTGATATGGAAAAGCCAATAGTAAAAATGGAAATAAAATAAAGCTAATATGTCTTTCTTTACTGAGACTGGAATAAGAAAGAACATAAAAAGAAATTCGTAGTATTGGAAGCTCTAGAATGCAATCCCTCGATGAGAGAAGAAATTCCACAAACTAGTTTATCATAGTTATAAAAGTGCACATTTACATAAGACAGATTTTACAATCCACTCATGCATAGGTCTAGAAAATAGATCAATAACTTAAATCAATTGCTTTCAAACAGTTAATAAAAATCCTTTGCTAAAAACGATTATGAATATCAAAGCCCAATGAAGTCTTGCATGAACACTAAAAATTATTAACGTCCAAAAAATAGGTTTTTGAACACAAGTTAAGTAAAGCAACTTATCCCAATCTTTTATTCCTTAACAAATTATTATTCCAGCTCTAACTGTGGTCATGAACATTTGCTCTTGGATCTTTGCTTCTTTCTCTGGCAACATACCCAAGAATTTAAATAATTACTAGACTTACAGAGCAGTAAATTCAATATAATGTTAAAACCCTAATTTATTTTTCAACAAATATTTGTAAATGGCAGTTGAGAGTAAGGCTATTTTTATTTAAACACGGTCCCAGACCAGAGTCCCCATGTGAGAGGCAGTTTAAATGGAACACTACTTCAAAAACAAAATTCATTATGATGAATGTGCCAAGTGAAATTAGAAATCTACTAATGCTAATTGGATGCACTCTGAATGCATTAAACTTCGAAGATATTTTTATGAACCCTTTGCAATTTCCTATTAACACCCATGCATGGCTGCACTTTGGATGTACCCACAATTTGACACAATATAGGTTATTATGCTTAATAACTTTCGATCTCTCGGGGTGATTGCATAGTCTGAAAAAATGAGAAAAGCTACAGTGTGAAAATACTACTTCTCAAAGGAAGGGAAAATAATATATGAAAAACCTTTAAGAGTACAAATAGAGAAAACATGGATTTGTTTTTTTCAAATGTCAGAATTACAGAGCTCACTGGTCACCATTAACACCTAATATACACAAAACACTGGAACTTGTCAGCCTGTGGAAAATAGTAAAAAAAAAAAAAAAAAAAAAAAAAAAAAAAAAAAAAAAAGTCATGAATGGTTTTCCAGATAAGCTCAAGGACGGTTATCAATCAATTATATTTCCAGAGTGGTAAGTGAGCCAGTCCAGGGCATTTGGGCCACACACACCCCTTGGTAAAATCAATGGCACTGAAGACAACCCAGCCAGATCATACTCGCTCTCTTGGCGCCTCTGTCAGAAGCAGGACACCGGGCTTCATGCAAGAAGGGTCCAGCAAGCAATACTGATGTTCTTACAGATCAAACTGATGGCAGAACAGAGAGGAAATCCCCACAGGTTTTGCATATATGGATATAAACACATAGGCAGCCGATAGAAAAGGAAAAGAGGGCCTCTACCTCCCTGCCTTCATGCTACCAATAGCTACAAAATGTACGTGAGTCTAAAATCACGGAGGCTTCCGTGGTATGAGACAACCTAGACAGATAGTATCACACAATAAGGGCACCGTTCTTACCCTAATGTCACTGACGTAGGGATCACTGACATGATAAACAAGTATATGGTGTTCATTACAACTCTGAAAATAAAATGTTACGACATTTTTTTTACAGAAGACGAAAGTAACCTCATAGCTTCATTCCTGGAATATCCTGGTGCAGGGTGGTATCTGACCACAGAGCAGGGTGGGGTTAGGAATGTTCGGGTATAAATGTGTACCCTGGGCTGGCCTCCCCAGCTTCCAATGACCCCCTCCCCATCTCTCCTCCCTCCCCATTCAGGGGGGTTATGAAGACATCTGCTTCACTACTGAGCTTTTCTTCCCATTTGACACAAATATCTTTAGCCTGTTTAGCCTGTGTCTGATGTATGTTTAGTCTTCACAGAGGAGATGCTCAAGGCCAAAGATAACACGCGGTGCCTTCTGTTCCACCTTTCAAAAACTACTTGTTGGTCGAGGAGGTAGGTAACAAGCCAAATTCCAATTTTCTTAATGCAGTGAGGACTTTCCCTATTGCACAAGATACATTATGTTTCCGGTGCAAAACATCTATTTTTGCACATCTGCCCAATAGCAGCTCAATTAAAACCAGGCCCATCAGAGTGACACAGTTTCCTTAACTGCTCAGTTCCTCTCATGCTGCAGATAGCAGAAAAGCACTTAACGGCAGCCACAAGGCAATTTTCCAGTAAGACATGTTAATCTTTATACAGTCATCTTCATGCCACCATCAAAGTGAACTTAATGACAAATCAGTTAAAATAAATTACTTTTAGGAACTTGTAAGGATTGGATAAAAAGCAAACCATATGTGACATCTCTTCGGTCCTCCCCGTGACGGCATATAATTGTCACCATCTGTGCTGTTTATTCTATTTGCTGGGCCCATCCGCCCTCCAGATCCACTCTTTGCCCTTGTCTGTCTTGTGCAGGCCCCAGGAGGCCGACCTCTGTGGACCTTGGGACTATATCTGCATCAGTTTTGACCTTGCTCTCTGGCTTCCAGCTGGACTCAGCCAGTGAGAGGTACAGAAGAGCTCAGAGGCTGAAGGGAAAGGGTGTCAGGGAGTTATTCTTCACCCTCCCGAGAGCTCGTGCAGCCAGGTGGCTGCTCTTCCAGCTCCAGCTCTCCACCGTTCTGGTGTCACTGCCCCCCCCCCCCCCCCCCCCTCCAGCCACTTATCCCTCAGGCCCACGTGTGCCCAAAGCTCCCAGCTGCTGCTACTCCCTGGGTGCTTCACCAACCCTTGTTGATTGCTGTAATCTCGCCCGCATCTCTATAAACAATCCTGTAACCGCACCCCCTTCAGTCTAGACACCTGCTGCTGGCCCAGACCCTGGCGGACATATTGTCAGCAGCCAGAAGCTCCAAGTTGAGATTACTTACATGGACTGTGTGGACCAGATCGGCCACCAGACACTGCTTCAGCTTCTCATCGCTGCTGGTCCCGTGAAGCACCAGATCAGGCATGTACGTGGGGCAATAACCCGCCAGAAGTGAGCGGCCAAAGTTTCTTACGTTTGTGTTGCTAATGCTCTGAGACCTAAAACAATATTGGCCCATTAGAATACACAATTAAAAATGTACCCCCTTCTCGCATCACCATTGGCACAAAACCCCCAATAACACAGATGCAAAAAACAGATTCATGGGGGTCCGTTTCACCAATCCTCCAGTAAGTGGATCATTGACATGGGAAAAGCAAGGGGGTGGGAGGAGAAAAATAATTTCTTTTTTGATGGAAGGGTAGAAGAAACAGTATTTTCTGTCACATATTGACATGATGCACCTCATATCAAACATCCACCAGGCAGTCTGTGTCAAGAGAGTGAAGAAAGAGAAAGTCTACTGGGGGGAGGCGGGGAGGCACTTGCCAAAAACCTGGCTTTAGGAACGCAACACATCTGCACAGGGTGGTGCCCACACCAGGGCAGAAGAACAGCAGAAATCTCTAATTACTGCTTTCAGTCATCACAGCCCAAATAATCGACCTGATGGAGTGTTAAGGAAGAGGTGTTGTTTCCCAACCCCGTCATGCTGCTCTGAGCTGCAGGAGAGAAGCCACACGGTGAGGGCAATCCACCGCCTCCGATGCAAGGCATCTGCTGCCAGCCATACAACTTCCGTGCGGATGACAGAAAATTAAAATACCTGCTCACCTCCACCATATCCTCGAGATTCCCAAAATGTCACAAGAGCTACAAAGGCAACGGCGTGCCTCGTCACTCAGAGAGCTCAGAGGCACCACGCCACTGTCATCCCCCTTGGAGAAAGGGCAGCCTCGAAACCCTGTGCAGCGGTGTGATTAACACTAACGCTCCGAGAAAAAAGCCATCATGTGTAACATGGCCAACGGCAGCTAATGTGATCATGCGTGTTAAGTCAGAAAACCAGTATTTGAACCCAGTTCCTTCTGCTTCCCAGCCTGCCGGTGTTACCTGGGCAGAGGCAGCTCCACTTCCAAGGCTCCTTCAGTCCAGTCATCGCTGTGCTCTAGATTCAGCGAGGCTGAAGCACACGCCTCCTCGTCACTGTCTCCAAGAGCGCTATCTGAGCTTTCGTTCCTGGGAATGTCTCCTTCCATCCTGAAGTTGGCCTTCCTGTCAGCATCCCCACAGGGGACATCTGCAGCGCCTGAGAAGCCAGAGTCCTGCTGTGCACACCTGCTTGGAACAGGCTGTATCAAAGGTCCCTCCGCAGCCTTCAGATACAAACCTCTTGTTTTCTCCAGAATCCTCGTTCCAGCTCCTGCGGCACCGCCATCAGGTGCCAACGTGTCAGCACACTGGCCAGGCTGCCCAGCGGCATCTGCCACAAGCTCGCTTCTGACGCCTCTGTCCTCAGCAAAACCCCTCTCAAGTTCACCTTCATCCCTCTCAGAAGATGGGTTCTGAGGACAGGGGATGTTCTTTTGGAAGCCAGGTGTAAAGGAGCACCGAGAAGCCTGCTGGTCCTGAGCCAGGTCAGCGGCCATCCCAGACTCCGCTGAGGGATGGCAGGCTAACTCTGGATACTGTCTACAGGCCATTAGCCGCTTCTCCATTTTTTGTGTGCGGCTTTCGAAGTCAGACTCTGGAGATACGGAGCTTCCAATTTGGAAAGTGACCTTTTCTAAAGGAGGCTTCTCCCAGGAATGTCTGTCAGGGCAAGGCCAGGCTGCTGACCGGTCTGAGAGTTTCTTGGGCATCTCCCCTTTCAACTCTTCACTGACAGTTCGCTGGCCGATCTTCACTCCTGCCCCCAACCCTTCACAGTTGGAGAGTCTTGAAGAGTCATCTCGTGGTGCCTCTTTTTCACTTTCTTCCTCCCCACAAAATGCACCCTGAGACTTCCAGGAGCTGCCCGATGCTGGCTCTTGGAATTCCACGCCGCAGACTTGAGAACTCTGCTCTGCCCTTTTGTTTCCTTCTTTGTCAGGTTTGGGACACAGGTCTCTAATGTCAGTGCCCTCTGGGGACACACCCAGCCCCTCAGGCTTGGGGCTCCTTCCCTCAGCCATCGAGGGTGGCAGGATGGGGGGAAGCAGAGCAGGCTCACTTCTCACTGTGACAACCACATACTCAGACTCCTCTACTTCTCCCCTCTCCAAGGCTGTGGTGATGTTGCTCCCATTTAACACTTGGTCTCCTTCACTGTGACTCCCACTCCAGGTCAGCTGATTCTCTTGCAGCTCAGAGCAACGGAGAAAGTAGGTCAGGACATAAAGTATGCGTTGGACCAGATCCTTCTGCTTCCCCAGCACCACCGTGCGAGTCAGCCTCACTGGAGAGCCAATGGCTCCGTAAAGATCGCCTGGAGAGCAAAACACACACTAAGTTGTTTGGGGCAAGCATGTCATGGATATGTCAACCTTTACAAGAGAAAAACAGAAGATTTACACTCCCAAATTAGGATTGCTTCTTCACACACCTGACTGGGGCAAAGAGGTAATTCCTACTAATGACCATGTTTTAGCTGTGCCTCTGGAAGGGAAAGCGTAAGGCTGCGGCTCACCGCTCCTGGTGCACAGACACAGTGCTGGTGTACAGGGCCCCTCTCCGTGCTCGTTAGACTTCCCACACAGCTCGCTGGGCAGGCCAGCCCCCACTAGAGCTGGCTCCCTCAGCTCACTACACAAATCAAATACTGTATCTTGGAAACAAGAATGATGGGATTTTTTTCAGAACAATCCCAGGACAATAGACCTTGGGGTAAAATCCAAATTCAGGGATCTCTGAACAGAAGTGTAGTGAATCAATTCAAAATACTTAATGAAATGGCCTGCTCAGAATTCCCTCAATACACACACACACACACACACACACACACACACACACACACACACACACACACCAAGTAGAACCAATGTGATTAACAAGAAGAAATCACTTAGTCATGAATAATGAATCTGAATTTATTTTCCATTACTTCACCTGAAAATCCTACTGGAAGAAAACACGTCCCATAAGTTATATCCTGACAAGCTGATTAAAAACTATGTAATGAACCACAAAAATTTAGCTTAAAGGTGGAAGAAGGGCTAATAAGAGCAAATATGTCAATGAGCCCAGCAGTATAAGCTTTCCATCAAAAGTATTTGTTAAATGCCTATTGAAAGTATTGCCATTTGACAATCTGATTACTGTTTGAAATGCTTTGATAATAATAATACTGACAATTGCAACAAACAGCCAACATTTACTGAGTGTGCAGGCAGAGTGCTAACTGATTTGCGTGGATTTATCCTGTTTATATCCTTGTATAACCAACCCTGAGTTAGAAACCATTAAGAGAATACTCAGAATGATGGAATAAATCAAAACTTGCAAAGATACTAAATAAAGGAGAGGAGGTACATGGTAACAGTTATAAATAAGAGCTCAGGAAGTTAGAACTCATCTGAGGAATGCATCTAGAGAGAGAAGGGAATGCATTTTTATTAGAGCACATACTAGATAAAACTAATTATACCAACAGATTGAGACAGGAAAAAGTTATGGGAACCATCAGGAAGTACTTGCCCCTGGGAACCATCAGGAAATACCCCCTCTGGAGAGTATTCCCTAGTGTAAAGCTACTGCTCCTGAAAACATTTAAAGGGCAGGACACAAATGACTTTAAAGAATCCTCTCTATAAAAAGACTACAGGCTAATAAAGCTTTATCTTTGAGGCGTTTGAAACTGACAGATCATTCAGGAATTCAAAAGAATAACTCAAGACTGTAGTCTGATGCTAGGACGAGTATTTCTGTTTGAGAAAACTTTCTAGACCTCTCATTGCTGCAGGGGGATCAGTCATTTCAGGAATTCAAGGGATGTTCTTGTTAAATCAGTCTCAATGTTAATAAAGAGGATAACCATTACATATCTGAAATCTGGTACAAAAAAAAAAAAAAACACAGAGGAAAGAAAGGCCACTCAGAATGACAATATTTTTTAGCAATGCATTGAACATTTGGCATAGCACATTTTAATAACTAATAAATGGGGAAAAAAGAAAGCAAGGAAAGCTACTAAAAATACAATTTATGATGTTTCCCGCTTTGGTTTTCTTCTTCAATATTAGTTTGGCTACTCGGGGTCTTTTGTGGTTGCATAGCCTCTACTACAAAGCTGTAATCATCAAGACAGTATGGTATTGGCACAAAAACAGACACTCAGATCAATGGAATAGAATAGACAACTGGGAATTGGACCCACAAATGTATGGCCAACTAATCTTTGACAAAGCAGGAAAGAGTATCCAATGGAAAAAAGATAGTCTCTTTAGCAAATGGGGCTGGGAGAACTGGACAGCAACATGCAGAAGAATGAAACTAGACCACTTTCTTACACCATACACAAAAATAAACTCAAAATGGATAAAAGACCTAAATGTGAGACAGGAAACCATCAAAACCCTAGAGGAGAAAGCAGGCAACAACCTCTCTGACCTCAGCCGCAGCAATTTCTTACTCGACACATCTCCAAAGGCAAGGGAAATAAAAGCAAAAATGAACTACTGGGACCTCATCAACATAAAAAGCTTCTGCACTGCAAAGGAAACAATCAACAAAAACAACAATCAACCCAACAGAATGGGAAAAGATATCTGCAAATGACCTGTCGGATAAAGGGCTAGTATCCAAAATCTACAAAGAATTTACCAAACTCAACACCTGAAAAACAAATAATCCAGCGAAGAAATGGGCAGAAAGATGAATAGACACTTTTCCAAAGAAGACAGCCAGATGGCCAACAGACACATGAAAAGATGCTCAATGTCACTCATCATCAGGGAAATACAAATCAAAGTCACACTGAGATACCACCTCACACTGGTCAGAGTGCTAAAATGAACAACTCAGGAAACTACAGATGCTGGCGAGGATGTGGAGAAATGGGAACCCTCTTGCACTGTTGGTGGGAATGCACACTGGTGCAGCCACTCTGGAAAATAGTGTGGAGGTTCCTCAAAAGATTAAAAATAAATCTACCCTATGAGCCAGCAACAGCACTGCTAGGAATTTTCCCAAGGGATACAGGAGTGCTGATGCATAGGGGCACGTTTACCCCATTGTTTATAGCAGCGCTTTCAACAATAGCCAAATTATAGAAACAGCCTCAATATCCATCAACTGATGAATGGATAAAGAAGATGTGGTTTATATATACAATGGAATACTACTTGGCAATGAGAAAGAATGAAATCATGCCATTTGTAGCAACGTGGATGGAACTAGAGGGTATTATGCTAAGTGAAATAAGTCAGTCAGAGAAGGACAGATATCATATGTTTTCACTCATATATGGATCTTGAGAAACTTAACAGAAGACCATGGGGGAAGGGAAAAGGAAAAAAAAAAGTTACAAACAGAGAGAGAGGGAGGCAAACCACAAGAGACTCTTAAATACAGAGAATAAACTGAGGGTGGATGGGAGGGTGGGAGAGAGGGGAAAATGGGTGATGGGCACTGAGGAGGGCACTTGGGATGAACACTGGGTATTGTATGTAAGCCAATTTGACAATAAATTGTATTCATAAAAAAATAAAAAATAAAAATAAAATAAAAATACAGTTTATCAGGTGCCTGGATGGCTCAGTCAGTTAAGTGTCTGACTCTTGATTTTGGCTCAGGTCATGATCTCATGGTTTGTGGGTTTGAACCCTGAGTCAGGCTCTGCACTGACAGCAGAGCCTGCTTGAGAATCTCTCTCTCCTGCCCCTCCCCCACTCACTCTCTCTCGCTTTCTCTCAAAATAAATAAACATTTCTGAAAAATCTAAAAAAATACGATCTACAATAATTTAAGCTGTATAAAGTAATGACAGCAATTGTGTGTGGTAACAGTGCCTTTATTTTAGGGTCAGTCTTCATAAAATAATGCATCATGAAAATAAGAGACCTGTAACATTACAGATTTACTGGATCTTCAACTGGAAGACAATTTTTTGAGCCCTGGACTGACAAAGCCACTAATTTTAGAGTAGATTCCTTTGTTTTCATGAGTAGCATTTTATAAAATGAAGTTGCACAACAATGTGAATAGACTTAACATTACTGAACTGTACACTTAGAAATGGTTGAGATGGTAAATGCTATGTTCTGGGCTTTTTTTAAACCACAATTTAAAATACAAATTTAAGGATGCCCGGGTGGCTCAGTCACTTGAGCGTCTGACTTCATTTCGGCTCAGGTCATGATCTCACGGTTTGTGTGTTCAAGTCCCATTTCGGGCTGTGCACTGACAGCACGGAGCCTACTTGGGATTCTCTCTCTCTGCCTTTCCCTCTCTCTCTCAAAATCAATAAATATTAAAAAGGGGCGCCTGGGTGGCTCAGTTAAGCTTCCGACTTCGGCTCGGGTCATGATCTCACAGTCTGTGGGTTTGAGCCCCGTGTCAGGCTCTGTGCTGACAGCTCAGAGCCTGGAGCCTGCTTCAGATTCTGTGTCTCCCCCTCTCTTTGCCCCTCCCCCGCTTGTACACGCTCTCTTGCTCTTAAAAAGAAACATTAAAAAATATATTCAAAAGAAAAAAATATATAAAATTTAAACTTAAAAAAAGCAAGAAAACGAGAGAAGGTAAAGGAGACAGACGAAAGGCAGAGAGTGCATAAAGCAGGAAGGGAGCCGGGTGCAGGGAGAGGTGACGCCCACAGAGGGGGACATGAAAAACTATCAAGGGGACAGTGAATAGACAGAAACCGGAAAGCTGAAAAACTGAGACTGTAGGAGCGCTATAAGGGGAGGACAGAGAAAGGGTGGGAAAGGTAGGGGGAATATAGAGGGAGAAACCAAAACAGAGGGAGGAACTGAAAGAAAATGTTTTTAAAAAGAGACGAGGAGAGAAGCCAAGGATCTTAAAGGCCACTTTCTCCTAGATTACATTCTAATAAATGTGTATGCTACAAAGTTCCCCTCTATAGTGTTTCCCGAGGCCCACACATTGTAATTTATTCTATCTTTATTATTATTTAATTCAAAATATTTTCTAATCTCCCTTGTGAAGTATTATCTGCCTTTTGGGTTATTTAAAATGGGCTGTTTAATTTCTGAGCAGGTGGGAATTTTCTCCATATCATTTTTTAAAGTTATTTTCATTATAATTTCAGTGGTGAAAGAAATCGCCTTTCAAACTATGCGTACCCATCCCACGACAGAAATACATTTTATACTGCAACCTCACTCATCCCCTGAAACAAACATTTTACAAAACAGTACCTGTGTCACTCTGATATTTTCTATTGTACTGACCCTTTTAAATGCTTTTCTGACCCACAAAATTGCTTCCACAAGCCACTAATGGCTGGTGATCCAGCTTTGGAAAGTCCTTGTGTAGAGTGCTCATGTTAGGCAGGGTGAGGATGGCTGAGCTCCTGGAGAGCAGGCCAGTGAGGGTGTGATAGACCCCAAGGGCTGGTTGCTTTCAGCTTCTCTCCCCACTTTCCTGAGAATGCCAAGGAGCCAGGCAGAGGTGGGCACAGCAGTGGTACCCGCTCTGGCAAGCGTTCAGATAAGCCTTTGAAATAATTCAAAATAAGAGTCTTTTCTACAACTTAGGAACCTGGAATAAAATTACCTCCGCACCATTGCATATTCCCAGAAATTTGTATTTTCCTATTTACTGGGACTTGGTAAATATTTAATAAAAATAATAATAATTGGAAGTGGCTCCCCCACTGAAGCTGCTTGATTTTTTGTAATGATGGAAACTCAACCACCATTTACACTTGGCTTTACAAAGCTATCACAAGACTCTGCTCTGTCAACCGCCAGACCCCTGCTGGATGGTCTGGGGGAGGGGAGGGCAATAATACATGACCTACTACACGACTATGAGCTCATAGGAAGGGACGTTGCCTTGTAATGCCAAACACAGGCTCTCAATTATTTAAATTTCAAATGGGAAGCGTGTCTAATTATAAATACATTCATCTAATTAAATGCACAATGTTTAATTAGCATTGTTTTTAAATGGGTGACCCGGCAGCATGAAACACCATGTTTCCTTAATATCTAGCCCCCTTCCCTTTGCCACTTAACGATACTGCATTTTTTCAAGACTATTGTTCCATAACAACAACAATAATGCTCTGTCCTCCCCAGAACTGTATAACCCAGAGTGAGGCATACTCTGAGTTCTTCTGAGCTCGGTACTGATGGTTGTATTAAGTCCATTTTTAACATCCATAAATTCTTTAATTAATTCATTTAACATGTACCTATTATCCCCCTAACTGTGAGACATGTATTCTCTTTCTTAAATCCGGGTCACAAGGGCAAGACATCTTTATTATCTATAATGTGAGGACAAATAATAATAGGTTTGGAATGAGAATCTAATTAATTAACACATGCAAAAAGCACTTAAAACAATGCTTGATTCACAGTGTCAAGTTTTCATTATTGTTATTATAACATGCCATTTTCTAAGATTAGAGTGCGCTTCCCTAGTCCGTACTTCTGGAAAATGCCATTTTAACATTTCCTTAAGCAAGCCTTCCTTGAAAATCCCCTCCATCCCCTCACTTTGTCTCCCAGTGCCTCTCTAACATTAACATTTTCATCAGGAGCATAAATAACAAAAGTGCTTTATATAGAAGTAAATCCCACAGCAACCATTAACTATTATCATCCCATTTTATAGATAAAGAAACTGAGACACAGAGAGGTTAAGGCACTTGCCCATGGAGACTGGATTTGATCTATGTAGTCTGGCTGTGGCACCTATACCCTTAACCTTCACACTATACTGTCTCTGTCTTGCATCCTTCTCCTATCAAAGGAGTAATCAGGATGTTTTGAGATCATTTGAATACAAATCTGCCACCTCCATTAGGCAGCTAGCTTCCCCAAGCTAAGCAGTGTGTGTTAACCCCATATCCCTGGCATCTAGCATAGGATCTGCATCAGCGTGGGCAGCAAGTTTAACTGTGTTACTCTACATGATTGATGAGTGAGAGGTCCAAGAGTAGACCTCTTGTCCACATGAACCCAAATATGCCACTTTGAACTCACAAGTCCCAAACTTTATAACCAACTATGCCAAAGCATTAGATTTCTGTACCATGCCTACGTGCAAAGCTTTGAGGAAATAAATGCCACCATCTAATTGCAAGGAAGTGGTATAGAGAAAGACAAGGTTCCTAACTCAAGCTAAAGTTGTAAAGGTAGTAAAATTATAGTATGTTACTTTCTTTTTCTCCTATTTTTCTCCAACCAAGTCCATCCTTGAGGGCAGTGGTTCTCAGCCAGACAGTGTCTTGCCACCCAGGAACAATGTTCGGAGACATTTTTGATTGTCACAACTCTGAAGGGGGTTTTTCACTGGTAGCTAGTGAACAAAGGCCACTGATGCTGTTAACACCTTAAATGCACAAGACAGCCCTCCCAAACCCCACCCCACAAAGAATTATCTGGTCCAAATATCAATAATGCTGAGGTTAAGAAACCCTGCTCTAGGGTGAACTGCCACTGTGGTATGGGAGACCGATTTACCTGTTCCGCTTCAGAAGAGCACAACAAAGCTGCCAGCGGCGGGGAAGGAGAGAAAGGGGTTGCCCTACAACTAGACCCTGTGGGCCAGTCTCCTATCATCTGCCTGTCCAGGGACAACTCCTGAATCTCCGGGATGGAGAGCCAGCCAATATCAACAAAAAATTCTAGCATTTTCTCCATTCCATCCCATAGAGTCTCTGAATAGTCAAATTAGGTACTAACCCAGTTGTGCCCAGAGAGGATTATATGGATGTGTTTTGGCCAGCGTGTTCACTGACTGAGAGGTGCGTTTCTCTGAGAAGGCTTTAATGGGAGGGTGATCAACAGGCATGACAGTCGGTACCCAGGCCAGGTGGTAGGTTAACACTGCAGTCAGTAAGGCAGCAAAAAACCTTGGAGAAATGGAAGAAAATACAACCAGATGAGTCAAGGCAGGAAGAGGCATGTCACATACACCACAGACACTGGCCATGGAAGTTGCAAAAAGGCTTCAGAGATTTGAAGCTTACTGATTTTTGTTGATCTGTTCTATCAGAAGTGTAAACTCCTTGAGAAAGCGCTGGCAGAGCTGGTTTTTTTCCAAGGTGCTGGACATCATGGTAAGCCATACGGGTTCAGCTATCCTTGGAACGGAATATAAGTTCCAGATAGTTCCTCTATAGAAAAGAGAAGGGAGACATAAAACTGTCACAAATATTATTTTGGATAATCTCTGTATAAAGGAATAAAGAAGAAAACAATAATCTGGATCTATGTAGCCTTAAGGGATTCAAACAGTATATAAAACAGAGATCAGCAAACTATGATCCAGAGGCCAAACCTGCCACCTTTTTTGTAAATAATATTTTATTGGAACACTGCCAAGCTCATTCATTTATACATTATCTATTGCTGCTTTTTGCAGAATGGCAAAGTTGAGGAGCAATGACAGAGACTCTTTATGGAAAAGGCATACTAACCCTTGATATAAAATATCCATTTTTTAAATGATTTGTTTTCACAATGCCTATTATCAAAATTTGCGTTTCTTTTTACAGTAAAGAAATAAAGGAAGAAAGGAAGTACATGCTATTTAAAAATGTGGCCAAAGGCAACTCAGCTCTCCCAAGTGCTAGTTAGTGCTTAGTTCTCTAAGCCAAAGCACCCTATTGATTTCAGATGAAAAAACTACATAAATGGCTCTTCTTCATGATATATACTGAGTTTCTATATGGACTAACAGAATCAAATTCTTAGAACTATAAGCTATTAGCAAAACTGACTAATGTAGCTCTATCACTTTACAGATATAGAAACTGAGGCCTAGAGAAATTAAGTTACTTATATAAGACACTGAATGACAAGGTCAGGATAAGACTTCAGGTTTCCCAACACCTGGTGCCAAGGCCTTACTCTAAGCTTCATGACTCATAAATGTTTTTCCAAAGAGCACACTAACTTAGCTTAGGACCTCCACTGGAGGACATATTCACTCCAAATAAAGATGGTAAGACATATTCTGATTTTCTAGCTATGTGCCTAAATGAACAGAGATACAAGAGAACGTCACCTTGGCCAAAACACATCTGCTGAGTTAGGTAGCAATGACAGATTACAGTCACACAGAACTGGGAATTATTTACTAAAACTAGGTCTCCCATTGGTAACACTACATTTTGTCACCATTTCTGGAAGGGTAGGTTGTTGAAGTAAGAATAAAACGTGTCTTTGAATAAGTGAGGCTTTCTGGTTCTGTACTTTCAGATTCTTGACCTCTGAAAAATTAATACTTTAATCAAACTAGCACAACTCCACACTATTTCTCAAATATATGACTTAGGTCTTGACAGTAACCAGATAATGACAAATGTGCTATCTGAGTACTTTATACATAACACAAGGTTCAAAGACCACTGGGGATATTGTTTCAAGTAGCCATATAGAATTCACCAGCATATACCTTAATCATCAAAAAAATGTTCTAGGGATGCCTGGGTGGCTCAGTCTGTTAAGCATCCGACTTTGGCTCAGGTTACGATCTTGAGATTCATGGGTTTGAGCCCTGCATGGGGCTCCGTGCTGATGGTGTGAAACCTGCTTGGGATTCTCTCTCTCTCTCTCTCTCTCTGTCCCTTCCCCAAGTGTGTGTGCCCTCTCTCTCTCTCTCTGTCTCTCTCTCTCAAAATAAACTAAAAAAAAA